CGTCCTTCGTCGCGGCGCTGTGACGTATGTGGCCGACGAATTCAGCCTTCGGAGGACCCGTCCTGCCGTTTTGGACACAGCCATTAAGTGTTGAGGCTTTGTAGGTGAAATTCCTCCCATTCTTGCTTTATGAACTTCAGTTGCAGTCTGGTCGCTCTGTTGTCGTATTTTGCACTTTATAATGCGCCACACATTCTCTTTGGGAGACTGGTCTGGAGTGTAGGCAGGCCAGTCTAGTACCACTCTGTTAGAAGCCACGCTACTGGAGCACCTGCAGAACGTGGCTTGGCATTGTCTTGCTGAAATAAGCAGGACATCCCTGAAAAAGACGTGGCTTGGATGTCAGCATATGTTGCTCCAAATCCTGTAGCTTTCAGTATTAATGTTGCCTTCACAGATCTGCAAGTWACCCGTGCCATGGGCACTAACACACCCCCACACCAACAAACGGTGTTCACTGACAAGGGTTTTCAGAAGCTGTTGGATAAATTAATTATCAAGATCACAAGGAATGACAAACAAGCAGCAGATCTGGTTGAGCTCTCCTTTACTTACAAGGAGTCCAAACACAGACAAGGTACTGTTGTCAGTAGCATAAACTGAACTTCAGTACAACAGTGAGGTTTTTAAAGAGTTCCCTTCAAAAGGGTTATACGACCATGCAATCTCCTGTTCTCCCCAGTCGTTACCCAACAATTCATCTTTTTGGTCCACCAGCCTAATAGTGGGTCATAAACCTAATTCGACTCTGCAAGCTAAACAAGTTACAAAGATAAGCATTCACATCTGTGTTTTTACACACAATATTTCCATCCATAAGCCACAAATTCCGTTAAAGTAGACAAACACAGATCAACAGCATTAATATATCTTGTAATTGAATGAACCATAATATTTTAAATCACAATTTAACCAACAGAAGTGTTCCTACGTTTGTGGCAATATCTGTTACAGAATGATGTTGGTTTTTCATGCAGTGATGTCTGAGGGGTTGAAGGTCACGGGCATTCAGTGTTGGTTTATAGCTTTGAAGCTTATTTGTAGATTTGTCCAGATTCTCTGAAGCTTTTGATGATAATGGACTGTAGATGATGAAATCTCTAAATTCCTTGCAATTGTACGTTGAGAATTGTTCTTAAACTGTTGGACTAGTTGCTCACCCAGTTGTTCACAAAGTGGTGAACCTCCCTTTATGGCCAATCATGACACTCACCTGTTTCCAATTAACCTATTCATTGGTGGAATGGTCCATGCAATTGTTTTTGAGCATTCCTCAACTTTCCCAATCTTTTGTTGCTCCTGTCCCAGCTTGTTTAGAACGTGTTGCAGGCATCATAATGAATGAATTTTTGAAAACATAAAAAACAATCACATTTATCCATTTAAGCATTAGATATTTTGTCTTTGTAGCATATTCAAGTGAATATAGTTTGAAAAGAATTTGTCAATCACTGTTTTCTGTTTTTATTTATGTTTAACACAACGTCCCAGCTTCAAAAGAATTGGGGCTGTACATAAACCTGTGACAAAAGCTTCATTTTTCAGTTTTAAACAATGTTTCTCAGACGGTTGGGCTTCAGTGATGAACCCACAGAGACGGACCATCCTGTGACCCAGTTCTACCTTGTGGCTGTCAGAAACTATGATAAAACCATAAAGGAAACATGACAGATCTGTAAAACCCAGGAGGATTTCTCTCACTGCCGTGTTCAGAGAAGACAGATGCTGCTCCTTATCTGGTGGGACTGGTTTATTAAGAGCTCCTTCTTCTAGTTTTTATACAGAACAAAATTTATTTATTGTTTGGTTTGGACAAAATAATCTTTGTTAAATCTACTGTAAAATATGTAATAACTCGATAATCATATAAATAGAAAAACAGAACCAACTAACATTGTTAAATTGTGTACTAATGTTACTGTTAAAAGAAACATGCATGTTGTTCAATTTGAAACACTTTAGAAATGAAGAAGGTTGGTCCAGCTCATCACTTTTTTCACTGGAGGATCAAACTGAACTGAATCTCTTCACTCCATCACTGTTACTGTCTACTACATGAAACGCAACCTGAATGTCCACTTCTGCTGACTCATCGTATCACGTCACACCTGGATCCTGTTTGTGAACAGCAGCTAATCTTGTGACCTCTCCCTGAAGGTGGAATCATTTAGGAAATAAAWTGTTCTATTATTCATTATTTGTTTCAAACAAAATGCTTTTGCATCTTTTATATATAGCAGAACTTATCGGTGTGGTTTTATCTCTTTCTTTTCATCTCTGCATTTCTGTAAATGCATTCAAAATAAGAAAAAGGGAGACCAATACTGAAAACAGTACACAACCTAAGTGTCTGGTATGCTGTGACATAATAGGCCCTAAAATAAAAAAAAAAAGCTAACAATTTACTGCTTCTTTAGATTTAATCAGAATAAAAGAGGAAACACATACACAACAGAATTCTTAACTTCCTGTCTTTTTAAAATATAATCATTTTGTGAAAGGCTGCAAATCTCCTGCGTGTCGAAGTTTCTCCTGTAGAGATGACTTCAGCTACAACCACCATGACAAATAGCTTAATATCTATAAAACTGATAGAGTTGGGGTCATTGGCTGTTCACTGGCACGTAGACATATGTCATCCGAAGACTAGACCGTCTCATTTCACAGTCGTTTTATGCAGCCTACATGGACAACAAAGGGTGTGGCCTCTGTGGGCCACAGTCTATGTGTGCTACAACCCCTGAAATTAGACACAACTAATTTGTGTTGGCTAATGTTGAGTAGCTGTGACATTGATGAAGAATTAGGTTCACTTAATCAGTTATAGATGTACACGCAATGATTATTTTCTGTGTTTCATTCAAATCTGTCCAGTTGTTGTTTATTGTGGAAAAACAACGATCAAGACTACACGATCACAGACTGTATGGTTAATGTTCTACTGTAAATGTTGCGTGCTTCCTTATTCACCCAAGTGTGTGTGTTGGTGTGTGAGTCATCCCTCTGTGGAAAAATAAAAACTGCCAATCAGAGGGGAAACACATTTCTAGCAGGTGGACAAAGAGCGGGCTTCRCTGTCCAACATCAACTAAAGGACTCAGTGTGTATCGGAGTTGTAGTGTCAGATTAGTCTGTGTGTATATGATTTTGTTACCATGTAGAGTTTGATATTTGCCCATTTTCCCAATACACACAGC